CCGCTAGGGCTTTCAGGGATTTCCTCTTTGCACTGTGGGAAAATTGTACCCTGTGGGCACAATGCTGAACCCTTTTAGGGGTGCCCTCCCACCTGCCTGAAGATACCCGGACTGCACAGAGAGGGTGTGACAGAGGAGAGGAGGAAATAAAAGTGAAAAGGCTGTCACACTACTTTTTCCACAAGTAGCTCCACTCCATGACTTTAGCGCTGTATCAGCCTGGCTGTGGCCCTGCCTTCTGGTAGGATTATTTTTTCAATACTTTAAATATTTCATTGTATTTTCTTGTTTACATAGTTTCTGAAGAGAAGTCTGATTTAATTCTTATCCTTTTTTCCCCTCCCCTGTATCCTTTGACTTCTTTCAGTATTTTGTCTGCCTTTGATTTTTTTTTTTTTGCAGTTTCAATATGTTATGCCTGTTTCTGTTGCTGTTGTGTACTGTAGAGTTTGTTCCAACTCCTAGTGGACCACCTACATACAGAGTTTCTGAGAGGCTAGTGGGTTTGAACTGCCAACGTTTCAGTCCAGTGCACCACAGTAGAGACCCATGATATGCCTAGATGTAGTTTGTTTTCTGATATTTGTCCTGCTTGGTGGTCTTTTAGCTTCCTTGATCAGTGGTTTGGTGTCTGTCAATAATTTTGAAAAATTCTCAGCCATTATTAGTTCAAATATTTGTGTTGCATTTCTTTTCCTCTTCTTTGCTTTCCTTTTAGATATATGTTACGTTTTTATAATTGTCCCATAATTTTCAGTTACTCTCCTCCATTATATTTCATTTTGATCTATTTTCAAGCTCTCCGATGATTTTCTTGTTGGCTCTTTCATTTGATAAGTCCATCAAAGGCATTCTTCATTTCTGTTTCGATGTTTCTAGTGTTTTCTTTCTTTTCAATTTTTTTTTTTTTTTTTTAAGCTTTTACTGTGAATTGAGTGAGTGAAGGTTTGTAGGGGCAGAACATCAGTTTTACATTCAAAAAGTCATTGCAATGATTATAATCCCCACTATGCACCATCAATTAACAGTATTTACCTCTATTAAGTTTTTTGTTGTTTTTTTTTTTTTTTTTTGTATACATATCACATTGAATGTATTTGTCATTTAAATGTCCAGAGGGCACACTTTGCAAGCCAGCCTTCTGCCTTGAGCCTATTAGTTTTCTTCTGTTCTGTCTCTATGCCATTGCCTCTGCCACCATCTCTGTTGTTGCCGCTTTTCTGGTTAGAATCCTTCGCTCCTCTCATGCTCTTCCCTCTTCATGGTCCCAGTGTCCTCTGTTCTTGAAATGACAGATTAACTGTTCCCCTCTTTTAGTTACAGCTCTTTTACATTTATAGTTGTGACAATCGCCATTAGTCCTGATAACAATTGTTCTCAATTCAATACATTATTTATCTAAAAGGTGACCTTAAAGGGTAATTTAGATTTAAAGTTTAAAGAGTATCTCCGGGTTGTAGTCTCAAAGTTTAACGAGTATCTCCTGATGGTAGTCTCAGGGCACCCTCTAGGCTCAACCTGCCCATGAGTCTGTATTTTAACAATATGATTTCTGGTCCACATCGCGGCCCCCTCCCCACTTCTATCAGGATCTACCTATAGGCAGTGGTACATGGGCACCATATAGTTCTTAGGGTATTTTGGTAGTTGAGGCCTTGGTTTGTGTCGACTATTATTTCTATAGTCTACTTTCTTCTCTTTGGCTTGCTTCTTTCTCTTTTGCTCCACATGAGTAGAGACCAATTTCTGTACCGTAGATGGTCATTCATAAGTTTTTAAGGCTCCAGCTACTACTCACCACACTGGGTTGTAGAACATACATTTTATGAACTATATTATGCCAATTAACTGGGTTATGACACCAGACTATGGTCTTAAGCCTTCAAACCCAGAAAAACAACATTTAGACGTGTTTAGCTATATCTAAAAGTGTCAGCTTGTGTATCGTATGTGTTTTATTATATATATGAATATACTTGCATGCACACACATACATTCACGTACATACTTGTATCTATAGATACATCTAGCAATGTGCACATATGTACCCATATATTCATATATGCCTGCATACATATTTGTGTAACCACATGCATATTTTTTGGTGGCTTTACAAAATTATATTGTTGTTAAGTGCTGTCAAGTCGGTTCTGACCCATAGCGACCCTATATAGGGTTTCTGAGGAGCAGGTGGTGAGCTTGAACTGCTGACCTTGCAGTTCAAATGGCTTCGCAGTCTGGCACATTAACCCACAGTGGCACATCAGGACTTACATTAATATTACAAATAGTGTCCTTTTCTCTTATTTATTTCTGTTTGGGAGAAAAAAAACATTTTTTTTTTTTTCCCTTTTCAGTTTTTATTGTGAATTGAGTAATAGTTTACAAGGGAGAACATCAGTTTTACATTCATTGTTTCATTGCAGTAATTACAGTCTCCTCTGTTCATCATCATTAAATAGTATTTGCTTCTATTTCTTCTTTTTATTTTTTTGACAGGGGGATATACACAAAAACACTCAGGAATATATAATCATTTAAACAACCAAAGGACACATTATGTAAGCCTGCCTCCTGGCCTCCAGCACACAGCCTTTTTCTTTCCATTAGTCTAGGGTCCTCAGCTGCTCTCTCTCTCCATGCCCTCATCTCTGTCTCCATCTCTGGTGTCACTGCTTCTCTGGATAGGGTCCTACATCCGCTTGTGCACTTCTACCTTGATGGTCATAGGGTTCTCTGTTCCTGGAGTGTGTAAGATTAATTACTCCCCTCTTTTTGTTAGAAAACTTTTACCTTTACAGTTGTGACAATCGCAATTAGTCATGATAACAGTTACTCACTATTGAATCATAAGAATCTTATTCTCATTTTCTTTCACCAGACCCATCTAGGCAAGATAAAAACTATTCAGTGGGATTTTACCGACTCCTGCACACTCTGAAACTAAACTCCCTTTTGAAAACTTGTGAGTCACCTCATGCCTTTTAGCTCCTCCTATTTTAGGTTGTTGTTGTAAAGTGCCGTCGAGTTGGTTCCCACCTGTAGCAACCCTGTATAGGGTTTCCCAGGAGCAGCTGGTGAGCTTGAACTACCAACCTTGCAGTTCAAACAGCTTTGCAGTCTGGCACATTCACCCACAGTGCCACACCAGGACTCCCCCATTTTAGGTAGCCAATGTCTAAGTTGCCTGTCTGTATCAACCTGTATACAGAGGGGATAGGGATGATCTTGGATATGAAGACTCCTTCACTTCTCTCTTGATATTTTGAGCTACTGTATCCATAAGTATAGGTCAAGTTCATCAAATTGTCGCAATTTATATTTGTTTTCCTTTATCAAAAAAAAAATTTTTTTTTTAAATCTTCCTCTAGTTGAGTTCTAATCGTCAAGCCATCGAAGCTAGGTTAAGTGGGTTCTGACATTTTTTATTTTTTTCTTAAAATTTCCGTTTCTTTGCTTAGGTGAACCATGTGTTTGTTGTAATAGCTTATAATGTATACCTTAACAGTAAAAACAACAAAAACCAGTACATAATTTTAACTTATTAGACGAGGGTGAGTCAAAAATTATCCACACTCGGGCTGTAGAATTTATTTAAATTAACTTTTAGAAAACACAAATATATCATTTTTCGACATAATCTCCTTTGATTTTCAGTATACTTTCTCCATTTGTCAACAAGCTTTCATATTACTGTATTAAAAAATGTCTTAGGCTAAGCTGCGAGCCACGAATGCACCACTGTCTTCACTTCATCATCAGAGGTGAATTTTCGAGGTGAACTTTCGTTCTTGAAGGTCTGCTTTCAGGGGACCAAACTGGTGAGAATCTGATGGAGCAAAATCAGGACTATAGGGAGGATACTTAAACACCTCAAAATGAAGCTTTTGAAGCATGTCAACAGTGTGGGCAGAGGTGTGTGGACTTGCATTGTCATACAAGATTACAATGCCTTTGGATAGCAGTCTTCTGCATTTAATCAAAGTTTAGGCTGTTGCTCTTCATGTGATGTGAAGACTCCTTTCCTCTCAGCTGGTATTTTGAGCTACTACATCCATAATAATATAAGGAGCTCTGGTAGTGTAGTGGTTACGAATCGGGCTGCGAACCTTAAGGTCAGTGGTTCGAAACTACCAGCTGCTCCGCGGGAGAAAGATGAGGCTTTCTACTCCCGTAAGGATTTACACCCTCAGAAACCCTGTACAGGGTCGCTATGGGTTGGAACCGACTCGATGGCACTTAACAACAACAACAACATCCATAATATAGGTCAAATTCATCAAATTGTAGCAATTTACACTTGTTTCCTTTATCAAAAATTTTTTATCTTCCTCTTGTCGAGTTCTGATCATCCAGATGTGGAAACTAGGTCAAGTGGGCACTATTTGCAAGTTTGGGCCTTCTTGTGTGTCTCCCCTTATTTCATATCAGCTGGATGCTTTATTCTGATGGTTGACTTTTGAATGTTTTCTTAGTCAGCAATTGAGGATGTTTCCATTCCATACTCTGCTGTTTACTTTCAGGCTCAAAGTGATGAATCCATGTCTCATCACCAGTAATGACTTTTTAAAGAAACTCTTAACCTTCCTTTGAGTATCAGTCCAGATTTTATTTGCACATGTCCAAACGTTTCTGTTTATACTGTTTTATGAGTTGTTTTGGTACCCGTTTCACACAAATTTTTTCAAAACCCAAATCTTTTGTGGATTATTTCATCGGCAAAACCTGGCTGATTTGCAAATGATTTGAAACATAATACACTGTCTCTCATCTCTTTGATAGACTCATTTCACGCACATGCCCAGTGTTGTCATCAGCTGTGGATGTGGATAGGTGTTTTAATATAACCTGAGTGCAGATGAGTTTTGACTCATTCTCGTATATTTTGTAAAGTAAACACATTAGTGGCGAAATTTTTAGAGAACTACAACTCTGATTTAATTTTGTAGAATAAAGTGTTCTGAAACTAACGTTTGGTCTTCTGTTACCTTCTTTTATAGCGACTTCAGGAAGAAATCACCAAACAGTCTCCTACATTGCAAAGAAATGCTTTGTACATCAAATCTGTAAGTTGTGTGCTTTCTTTTTTTTTTCCCCTGGTGGTGCTGTGGGTTAGGTGTTGACTTCTAACCACAAGACTGGCAGTTCAAATCCACTATCCACTCCTCTGGAGAAACATGATGAAGTGATGAAGCTGTCTGCTCCCATAAAGAAACCTTATGTAGATGTTGTTTGTTTATTTTTTAATAAATGTTTTATTGTGTATTGAGTGATAGTTTACATGGGGAAACATTAGTTTTACATTCATTCTGTCGTACATCGTTTCATTGCCTTGGTTACCATCCCGTCCATGCATCATACCCTAGCGAAAGGGTATACCCCCCCCCCGCCCCGTCCTCAGTGTGCTTTCTTTTAAAATCTAATTCCATTTCATTGAAGTATTTTCAGTTAATGTAATTTTGCTTTTGCTGTAACCAAGGAATTAAAAACCTGCATGGTATTTGAATTTAATAAGATTTTTCCCCCCTTTTTTTTTTTTTTTTTAAAAGTCCAAGATCAGCCGGCTACCTGCTTACTTGACTATTCAGATGGTCCGTTTTTTTTATAAAGAGAAGGAATCTGTGAATGCCAAAGTTCTTAAGGTTAGTAGTGAGCTTTAGTGTATATAATGAATTATTATAATTTGAAGGCTATCTCTAACTTATAATAGATTTTGTCATTCCCTTAGGGGTAGTTGAACTTTCTTCAAGCTATTCATAGGAATTATTAACATAAACCAAGTAGTTGTTAACTAGTAAATGCTATTGTAATTATTTATTGTCTTTTAATTTTGTTTTATTTCATCATGCACATGCATGGCTTTTGTTAAGCATGTGATTAAGTCTTGAGTGGGGCCTGGGATTTTTATTTTAAACAGATTTGTGAAGAATTGTGGTGGTAACTTCACACTCACTCTGGTAACGTAGTGGTTACGAAGCGGGCTGCTAACCCCAAGGTCGGCAGTTCATAACTACCAGCTGTTCAGCAGGAGAAAGATGAGGCTTTCTGCTCCTGTAAAGATTTACAGCCTCGGAAACTCTGTGCAGGGTCACTATGAGTTGGGACCGACTCCATGGTACTTATTAACAACAACAGGCTAGATCCTCACTCAACTCCAGAGATTCAGTGGTGGGGCTACGGGTGGGGGGAAAAGGGGGAGGTCTTGGGACCAGTGAAATACATTACACTGTGTTTCAGATGGTTACTTTTTTCAGGAGAAAGAGAAAATTAAATTACTAGTGCCCCCAAATAATGGTATTACAATCTCTGGTCAAGTTGTGACTTAGCTTTATTTTATATTATGTATTTTTTTTTTAGCTAGAACACTGCTACATTTTTATTATATAGTCTCTGATCCTTGGGGAAGGTGTATAGTCTCTTAGCTGAAATTCAGAATACATTTTAAAAATATGCTTAGAATTATACAAGACAGTTACATGTTTCTATTATCTTGTAATTGCATTTTTCCATGAACTTTTTGAAACCTCCTTAAGGTCTGTGCTAGGGTTAACTTTAAATGTATGTTAATCTTAGTTATCTAATTACATCATTATCATTTCTATAAATAAGAAAAATACAGGATTCATAAGTGACCCCAGTTATAAGTCAATTTCATAACCAGTTTTGGGGATACCTCATTTTTATAGCAATTGAGCTAATATTTTTAAAAATGCTTCTTCGGTCATGTGAATCTTAGTAGCTCCTCTGTAGCCATTATCATGACTTAAAATATTTAATGAAAAAACAGTGTTTTGACATTTCATAGTTTACAAATGTTAAAACCAGATTAAATTAAAAAAAAAAAAGTCCACTTTTTTTTCAGCAAATTGGGAGGAAAATGAGACATTCAATTTAAAAAAATTGGTTTCATTTTATTTATTTTGTTGTGCATATACACAACAAAACAGATACCAATACAACACTTTGTATATGTACCATTTAGTGACATTGATGACATGTTTCAAGTTGGGTAAGCATTCTGGCCCTCCTTTTCTGAGTTGTTTCTCCTCTTAGTATAAATTCTCTGTCTGCAGTCCATGAGAATTTGAAACTCTATACTGCATTTCCTCCCTTTTGGTCAAAATGTTCTAATCTAATATAATCTTTGATCAAAATGTTCAATAATGGTAGCTGGGCACCATCAATTTCTGGTCTAATGGCGAAAGAGGCCATTTTTACTTGAGGCAGTTAGCAACACGTTTCATTTCCTCCTCCTGTGCCTTCCTGTGTTGCTCCAGGGAAATAGAGACCAGTTGTTGTGCCTTAGATAGCTGCTTGCAGGTTTTTAAGACCCCAAACACTACTCAGGACTAGGCGGTAGAACTGAGTCAGAACAGGTTACTTACTCAGTTTTACTCTGGAAAATAAGCTCTGAAATATTTTGAACTTGATTTGAATGATGAAAGCATTTACTGGTTTTCAACTTTTTATTGTGAATTGAGTGAAGGTTTAAAGAACAGATCATCAGTTACATTAAAAAAATCATATACTTTGTATCATTACATTGTTGCAATCCCTTCCATGTACCAACAGTTAACAGTATTTACCTCTCTTCACTTTAGCTATTGTATTCCTTCCTGTCTTCCCTGCTATCTTCATCTTTCCTCTGCTAGCCTCCTACTTACTGTATATTGCCTGTCCTGTCACTCATGTTAACATGTGTCTACCTTCTAATCCGTTAATACTTTTTCTACCACCTCCTCCTGTAACCATCCTAGATGGTTTCTTTTATCAAGAAAACCTTTATTTTAAACTTTTTATTTGTCTCATTCAGTGTCCTTTTGTGATAGAGTAATTTCAACTCAGCATAATGTTCTCCAGGTTCAGCCATGTTGTAAAGTGGCTCACAGATTCAACATTATTTTTCAAAATTTAATATATTCCATTGTGTGTATGTACCAAAGTTTGTTGAACCTTTCTTCAGTTGATGGGCATTTAGGCTGTCTTCATCTTTTTGATAGGTATCCTGTAGACAGCATATTGAAGAAATATGTTTTCTTATTTATCCATTCTGTTCTCTCTGTCTCTTGACATTTAATTTTTTACATTATTATTACTGATAGGTATGAATTGATGATCATTTTTCTGTGTGGTTTTTTTTTTTTTTTGTGGTGCTACTGGATTCTTTGTTAGACATAATTTCTATTCTGAGTTCATTTTGTTTGTGGGCATTCTTTTCATTTTTATTTCCATTGTGTTACTTTTTACTAAATCTTCCTGATTTTTTTTTCTTTTCTTATTTCGATGCTCAGGTGTATTATTTTTCTTTGAGGTTATCCTATAATTTATTAATTATTTCCCCCCTGCTTACTTAAAACAGTCTATTTTATTTTGAAATCTACTTCAGTTCCTTGTTATTGGACGTTTTATGTGTATATTATTCCCTCTTTTTGCTTTGTAGTTGACTTCATTATACATTGATATATCTGGTTCTCTGTTTTGAGTCTTACAGGTTTGTTTTACTTTAAGTACTCCTATATATGGGTTCCTGGTGGGGGTTAATACCCTGGAACACAAAATTGCGTTGAACCATAAGGTTGGCAGTTCAAGCTCACCAGCCAATCCTTAGAAACCTTATACAGGGTCACTGTGGGTCAGAACTGACTCAACTGCACTTAGCAACAACAATATATATATTGCATTCCTGGTGTGGCACCATAGGATCAGCACTGGACTGTGAACCACAAGGTCAGCAGTTCAAACCCAGCAGCTACTCCTCAGAAATACTATACATGGTCACTAAATGCAAGTCAGAACTGACTTGACGGAGTTTAACAACATATATGGATTGACTTCTGGTGGGTGCTGCAAGATAAGCACTGGACCACAAAGGTGGTTTGAATTGGCGGTTGAAAATAACCTGACGCTCCATGGAAACCCTGTACAGGGTCACTGTGAGTTGGAAGTCACTCAGCAGCACTTACCATCAGCAGCATATGTGGATTATGTTCTGGGTGATGTTTTCATATATGGTAATCTCAGGCTGTTGTCTGATGTTGTTGGTTCTCAGTCCAAAGAACACCCTTTAGCATTTTTTATAAAGTTGGTCTGATCATTACAAATTCGTTTAATTTTTGTTTATCAGAAAATGCCCTAATTTCACTGTGGTGTTTCAGGGGCAGCTTTGCTGATTATATGATTCTTGTTAGACAATTTTGTTATTTTATGTATGTCATCCCATTGTCTTGTTGCATACATGATTTCTGCTGAGAAATCAGAAAATCAGAGTTTAGTTTTATTGGTTTTTCTTTGTAGGTAACTCTTCATATTTTCTGAGATGCTCTCAGAATTCTTTCCTTCTCTTTGGTTTTGGAAAGTGTGATTGTGATATGTCTTGGGGATTTTCTGTTGGGATCTATCCTTTTTGAGGTTTGTTCAGCTTCTTATATGCTTGTCTTCTTGCCTTTCATAATGTTAGGGAAGTTTTCTTCCAACAACTCTTTGACAATTGTCTCTGTACTTTTTGTTGTCTCTTCCTGTTCTGGAATTCTAATCACCTGTAAGTTGTTCCTTTTCATGGTGTCCTACGTAACTCTTAAGCTTTCTTTGGTTTTTTTCATTATTTCTTTGATTGTTCTTCTAGCATACTAGTAGTGAGAGATTTATCTTCAAGTTCACTAATTTGGGCTTCCATTACTTCACATCTACTCCTTTGCCCTTTCATTATATTGTTCTTTTTTAAAAAAAAAAATCTTAGTATTAATCATCTGGATTTCTAATGGAAGGTCTTGTATTGTTTCAAATTTGTATTTATTTTTGTCTGTTTGTTCCTAAAGTGTTTTCCTGAATTCTTGTGAAGTTTTTCTTGTGTTTCCCTTGCATTTCTCATTCTTCCTGTCAAATCTGTTGAAAGTACCAAAATGTCATTCTTTTGCATTCTTTTTCAGTTTGTTCCATTAACTTTTTTTCTTGAAACATTTTCTGGCTCTGCATCCTGGTCATTTGTTTCAGCCATTCTCTTTTGTTTCTTCTGTGATCTAAAATTTTCTGTTGTCTCAGGGGGTATTGTAGAGTTGTTGTATTTGTTCAAATAAAGCAGTTGTTGGCGCCAGTGGGGAAAACTCTCTGGTGGGCTCCTGCACTTCAAGGAGCTCACAAGGTGGTTGTGGAATGGATGTGACATCTGAGTTCCTTGACATAGATGGAGTCTCTATGGGCCTTGGTGTTATCTATATTTAGGTCACTCAGTCCAGAAGTAGTTCCTTGGGGCCCTTGTTGGACCTGGCTTTAGTGTCTTTTCATATTACACGGAAAGTGAGAGCAGGGTGACTGATTAAATGCTGGTCTGATGGCTCTGCAAGTTTTGTAGGTTTTCAGACAAGCCCACCTGGCCCTCTGCCTGGAGCCAGCCCCGGCAAATTTATTTCTAGGGTTTTTTCCGAAGGCGAGTGCGGCATCAGCAATAAGAATTACACGGAGTCAATAACTCATGATGAATTCAAAAATCTTCTTATTACATGCTTTATTCTTCTCTCATTCTTTACTGTCCTGCTCATTCTTTACTCCCCTTCTCTCCTGCTCATCTCTTCTGCTTCTTTTCTCCCTTCCCCTGCTCCTGCTTTTCCTCCTTTCTTCCTACATGCTCTATTATCCTTCCTCTTATTCCTTCTTCTTCATATTCCTTCTCCTTCTCCTTTACCCACCTCTACTTACTTTCTGTCTTACATGTTTTTTTCCTACTTCTTATTCCCCATCCTTCTTCTCTTCTTCCTTCATTCTTTTCTGTCTCCTTTCTCTACCTTCTTTCACTACTCCACTCCCCCTTCTCCTTCTCTACATTACTCCCTCTATCCTCCCTCCATTCTTTTCTTGTTCTCTACATTACTTCTTTCACTCCTGCACTCCTTTTCAGTCTCCTCCCTACCTCATATTCCTTTTTCTCTTTCTCCCTTCTCTCTCTACTTCCTATTCTTTCTTTACAACCCCCTTATATATCGTTACAAAAAACATTGCTTTCATAGTAATCAATGACATCAAAATACAATCAAGTCTGGGGTGCGTTCTTCATGATTTACAACAGGGATGAAAAGTTACAGCAAAGAGACATTATCTCAAGGCATACGGCATACGAGACATTTTGGCGCCTTGAAACCTTTTAGTTAAACATTTGTTCCTACATAAATCTATTCTTTTCTCTGAGAAGCAAGTTAACCTTCACATATGTTTCTTAACCTCTATCTATTGAGTCTTGTTAATTTATCAGGGAAACTGAGGCTATGAAAAACAACTTCTCTATTTTACTGATCATTAATTTAAGAACGTCTAAGTCAGACTTTTTATTTAGTATCTGTATATACCCATAGCCTTTATCTATAGTCTTAATTGTTTTTAGGAATTCTTGTACCTGCAGCCCTTATTTATGGCATAGTTGCTTTTCGGGATTCTTTATTGCCTTAAACTAAGTCTACAAGGAAGAATGTTTATAATCACTAAGCCTAAGCTGGTAGTAATTCAATTGACAAAACCTGTCTCCTAGCAGTCTTAAGAACATTGTTAATGTAAGTATTAAAACTACCTAACATTACAAGTAGAATAAAATGTAGCTAGTATATGGCTTCTAACTTTTAATAAAAATCTACTGAAGTGTAGGAGAGTCAAAATCTAAAGTAAAGGGATACTAATAAAATCATGAATAAATGATTCAAAAGGAAAAAAATAACTAGGGGCGTGTGCATAAAATATTATCTTCCCTTATAGCTTTGCTATCCAAGGAAAATAATTCATTGTTGCTCTGCAAAAACAATGAATTCTTCATGTGCAGGTTTCTTCGTGTCTCATTTATTTATTTTAATTCCTCGATTATTATGTCTCAATTTAATTCATTTTAATTCCTTAATTAATTATGGCTCTTGCCAGCCCTCACCTCACACTGATGTGGCTCCCAGTCATGTGGCTCTGAACTCTGGAGAGCAGGGTCTGGGGCTGGAGGTGGATGTGGGGAAAAAGAAGAAATCCCCCCTTTCCTGGCACCCATGAGAATCTGTTCTGCCAGGCCTCCTGTTGCCAGAGCTGCTGACAATATGGTCGAGCTGAGTCAGACCAACCATTCACCTGTTAGTGTCCCTCTCTAGCCTTCTCGCCTTAGCCTCTCCTTCCATCAAGCCTCCATCCACCTCTGTAACTTTCCTTCTGAAGTTCAGGGTGCCAGGATTTTCATCTGTGACGGTTTTATTTGGATTCTCGTATCTTTGTTGTAGAGGGTCCATGTAGTGTGTTTGTCTAGTTTACCATCTTGCCGGAAGTCAAAAGCATTATTTTAAAACTATAATAGATATTAATGCTGCTTAACTGTCTTGATATGCCCTTTCACATATATTTTTTTCATTTTGGTTTATCTATAGGATGTTAAATTTCCTCTTATGTTGGATGTGTATGAACTATGTACATCAGAACTTCAGGAGAAAATGGTTTCTTTTCGATCAAAATTCAAGGATCTAGAAGATAAAAAAGTGAATCAGCAACCTAAGATTGTAAGTTCTTCCAACTTCTAGTCATAATATTTTATGCTCCTGTCAGTTTTCAACGGCTTGTTTTTATTGTTAATCAGTAAAAATGGTTAAGTGTATACAGGCTATCATTGGGTTACAAATGAGGACTGTTACTAAGTATGTCTTTAAATAAAATTTGTTGGTAAGTCACATAGGAACATAAGACTCGTATTCCTTGGTGCCAGAAAAGCCTCAGAGCTTTTTCAGTGATTTAAAAGCTTCATTTGTAACATGTGAAGGTTATTGTGATGACACATTTGTTGCAAGTAGAAGTGGGTTCAATTTAGTGCAAATTGACATAATATTAAAGGTCAAGTATGAATTGTTTATTAGTAGGAGTCCTGGTGCTGTAGGATGAACTCTGGACTACTAACTGCAAGGCCAATGGTACAAACCCTTCAGCTGCTCCTCAGAAACCCTGTATAGGGTGACTATGAGTCACAAGTTGATGACACTTAAAGACAACAACAGAACTGTTGTAGCCTGGGGACTGCTTACATTGAATCAGTACGTATGTATGTATATATGTATATACATCCTACAAAAAGTTTGTGGGAAAATACTATTACTTTTAAAAAAAAAACTTTTTATTGTGAATTGAATGAAGGTTTCTAGAGCAGATCATTAGTTTTACGTTTAGCAAATCATATACTGTGCTTTATTACAATGATTGCAATACCCTCCATATTAACAGTATTTACCTCTGTTCACTTTAATGCTTGCATTCTTCATGTCTCCTGCTGCCTACGTCTTTCATTTGCCAACCTCCCTCTTATTGTACATTGCCTGCCCTGTCGCCCATGTTAACAAGTGTGTAGCCTCTAGCATGTGAAAAATTTTTTGCTCTTCCTTGCTTCTTTTATTAAGAAAACCTATTCTTACTACATTTTCTCATACAATATTTATCCTTTTTTGATTGGTTAATTTCACTTAGCATGATGTCCTGCAGGTTCATCCATATTGTGAGGGGTTTTGCAGATTCATTGTTATTCTTCAGTGTAGGCTCGTATTCCATTGTGTGTATCAATGTTTGTTTAACCATCCTTCTGTTGTTGGGCTTTTAGGCTGTTTCCATCTTTTTGAAATGCCTCTTGTAGACAGCATATTAAAGGATGTTTTTGCTTCTTAGTTGATTTAATTATAAACTGGTATCTGGTTCCCTATTTTAAGTCTTCTAGGTTTGTTTTACTTTAAATAATTCTATATTAGGATCGAGTCCTGGTGTGGTGCTGTAGAAAAGAGCACTAGACCTCAAGATCAGTTTAAACCACAAGGTTGGCAGTTCAAATTCACCAGCCGCATCTTGGAAATCCTACACAGAATCACTATGAGTTGGAACTGACTCCATGTCATTTAACAGCAACAACATACCTCAGTTGAGTTTAGGGTGGTGTTGTCATGTTTGGTAGTCTCAGGTTGTTGTCTGCTATTATTGGTTCTCAGTCCAAAGAATACCCTTTAGTGATTTTTATAAAGTTGGTCTGGTTATGACAAGTTCCTTTAATTATTTTAAATCTGGAAATGACCTGATTTCACTCTCACATTTGAGGGACAACTTTGCTGGGTTTATGATTCTTGGCTGGCATTTTTTTTTTCAATAGTTTTACATATGTCATCCCATTGCCTGAATGGTTTCTGCTGAGAAATCAGAGCTAAGTCTTAATTGGTTCTCCTTTGTAGTAACTTTTCTTTTTTTCTGAGCTGTTCTCAGAATTCTTTCTTCCAATTTGGTTTTGGTAACTTGACTATTAAATATGTTGGTTATTTTCATTTAAGGTCTGGAAAGAGTGTTGTGCTGTTGGGTTAAGTATGCTGTACAAATCTGAGGTCAAGTTGATTTTGTTGTTTAGTTCTTTCTGTCTTTGTTGAGTTTTTTTCTGCTTCTGCCCTTTTCTGAAAGTGATATATTAAAATTTCCGTCAGAACTGACTCCACGGCACATAACAGCAACAACAACAACTAGTGGATACAAGTTGGACTGCTAAAACTCAAGGTCAGCAGTTTGAAACTACTGGCTGTTCTGCAGGAGAAAGATGTGGCTTTCTGCTCGTGTAAATATTTATGTCCACAGAAACGCTATGTTATGAGTAGGAACCACCACTATTTTGTAGAGTCGTCTGTTTCTTTCTTCAGGTCTCCTAGACTTTGATTTATGTGTTTTGAGGCTTTCTTTGGGAGGATAGATACTTATTATAGCTATGTCCTGATGTTCAGTTGACCCTTTAATCATGAGATAGTGTCCTTCTTTGTTTCTTTTTACTTTAAAGTTTATTTTATCAGAGATTAATATTGCTAATCCTTGTTTTTGATTGTTATTAGGGTGATATATTTTTTTCATCCTTTAATCTATGTTTGTTTTTGTGTGTAAGATGTGTCTCTTTTAGACAGTGTCCATTTAAGGATCCTGTTTTGATTTTGCTACTCTGTCTCTTGACAGTTCATTTAATCCATTGATGTTCTGCATAATTATTGGTAGATATGAATTGATTGCGATCATTTTGCTGTGGGTTTTTGGTTTTTTTTTTTTTTTGCTGTGCTGCTGGTTTCTTTGTTCTGTATGCTTTCCTGTGTTGATTTCTTTTTTTCTTGTCAAGTTTTTTATAGTTTTAATGTTTATAAAATCTTCATGGAATTTCCTTTTCTTGATTTGATGTGGTAGTCTATTAATTTTATTTGTGGTTATCCTGGAACTTATTAATTTCATCTCCATTTTAAAATAGTCTGTTTTATCTTGAAACCTACCTCACATTCTTGACACTTACAGCTTTGTAACTATACTTTCTCTCCCTTCATTTTGTAGTTGTCCTGGTCATAGATTGACAGCTCTGCTTCCCTATTTTCAGTCCTGTAGTTTTGTTCTCCTTTGGATACGTCCATATACCTGAATTGCAGGTAGTGTTGTTGTGTATGTCACTCTCTGGTTGTTGTCTGCTGTTGGTTCTCAGTCTAAAGGACTCCTTTAGTAATTTTGAAAATTGGCTTGGTTTTTTTTTTTTTTTTAGCAAGGGTTTCAGATTTTTTCTGGCTGGCTCAGAGGAGCTAGCTTCTCCAGATTCGGAGTGCCAGATGCCGGGCAGTGTAGACTTATATGGGATCAGAATCAGGGAGGGGTTAGGTTGTGGACCTGTTTGAAGATATGAAGGAAACCAGAGGATTAGTTCTACTCAGTAAACTGATTAACATTTTAGCTTGACTCCTGGGCGGAGGACAGTGAATGTTTGTACCTTTTCCTGTTCATTCCCCCCTTTGATGACCTTTGGGACATTTCCCAGGGGCATCATCTAAATATTGCGTAAGGAATGCTCTTCTGGTATTGATTTGGATTGTTGGTACCCTTTTCAATTGATTATTTTGATGGCAGTTCATATGGCCCTGATTGCTAGTGGGAGGAGGCATGGAATGATTAAGTAAATTTCAAATAAAATAGGATCCCACCCACTAGGGTCTTGAGCCCTTTAAAGGCGAGAACTACCCTCCCAATAGGCTCTGTGGGTTCCACCCATTCCAGGTTTGTACGTGGGACATAGGCAACTTTCTGCATTTTACAAGGTCTTCTGCTGCCAGATCATGGTTATTTATTTGTATGCAGCAGTTATCAAAATTAAACTTCTCACATACCCCTCCTTCTGCAGCCAGTCAGTAGTCTAGGGCTAATCTATTTTGATAGATGGCATTTCACATCTTGGTCTGTTGGCGTGCAAGAAAGGTTAGGGCTACCCTAGTTCCATTGGTTATAGATTCAGTTACCTAGGTGGATGCCCTCATATTTATAGCAACTATAGAAGAGCTCTGGTAGCGTAGTGGTTACGAATTGGGCTGCGAACCTTAAGGTCAGCGGTTCGAAACTACCAGGTGCTCCGCGGGAGAAAGATGAGGCTTTCTACTCCCGTAAAGATTTACACCCTCGGAAACCCTATACAGGGTCGCTATGGGTCGGAACCGACTCGATGGCACATAACAACAACAACAATAGAAGAGCTCTGGTAGCATAGTGGTTATGAGTCGGGCTGCAAACCACAAGGTCATCAGTTCAAAACTACCAGCTGCTCTGCGGGATAAAGATGAGGCTTTCTGCTACCATGAAGATTTACAGCCTCGGAAAGCCTGTGCAGGGTCGCTATGGGTTGGAACCAACTTGACGGTACTTAACAACAATAACATAGAAGGAGTAGTGTGGTAACTGTTTGGCCCACCTTGGTGGTGTGGGTGTATAGATAACACAGATTTCTCCCTTTCCCACACCCCAAAGTCTAACTAAGATGAGTCCCATGGCAGATATCGTCATGCTTCGGCTGTGTGTAGATCAGCCAGCTAAAGCAGGGCGGGTTTTACGTCTCAGTGTTATCTTGTAAAGGTTGGTAGGGTCAGTTTCAGCCTCCCACAGAGACAAGGCTTTTTTCAGTCTACTGTGGTGAATCCATGTGGGGGCTCCTTTTACCTTGGCTGTTGGGCTTCAGATAATTTCTTGTTCTAGTCCTCAGTAGTCTTTGCAGATTTTGGATGCCCTCCTGAAAGGGAAAAAAATCAGATACATTTATTACACTCAGCTAAATAGACCCAAATGTTTTCATCTTGTTGTGCCCAAGTTTTGAGCCCAGCTAACTTGACAGCTGTGGGGTGGCTAGAAAGACTTCTCAGGGTCCAGTTCACTTTTTTTTTTTAAAACTGTTTTTCAGGTCCCTCTCTCCATGTTCTGAGCAGAATATGATCTCCAGGCTGGAAGGGGTCAGATTACATATTATTCTTGAAATTCCAGGTTGTTTTCAGTTTCTGTTTGAGAAGTCCTGGCTGGTTTCTCTGGTTCAACCTCTCCTTTCAAGTCTGGTTGGGAGAGCTTGGTGCAACTGCTGGCTGCCCCCACTCAGAGAAAGTGGGACCAACAAATGTGGTAGTAGCACGCCATCTTGTCCAATGAGGCGAGCTCGCCATCAGCCACTCCCCAACTCCAAGACGATGGCTCAAGGGGCCAGCGTGGTTGGTTT